ACTAAGCAAAAAGTTGACTCTCTGAAAAAATAAACATGACTGACAAACTTCTAGAAAATCTGACTAAAAGGAGGAGGGAATAGATCCAAATTATAAAATCAGAAACAAAAAAGGGCAGGTAACAAAAAACACCAAGTAGATCCAGGGAATCATCAGGGACTACTTTGAAAAGCTGTATTCAAATAAATTGGAATATCTAGAAGAAATGGACAAATTTCTAGAATCATATGACCATCCAAAATTGATTAATATCCAAGAGGATACTAATCATCTAAATAGATCTATAACATGCAATGAAGTACAGCAGAAATAAAGAATGTCCTAAAAAATAAAGGCCAGGACCTGACGGATTCACTCCTGAATTCTACCAGATCTTTTAAAGAACTCCTTAAACTTTTCCATGAAATAAAAAGGGAAGGAACACTGCCCAACTCATTCTATGAAGACAGTATTACGCTCATTCCAAAACCGGACAAGGACACAACATGTCTTAGAATTCTTGAAAGTTGTGTTCATATTTGTTTTTTATCTTTTCTTTATTGTGTTCTGAATATAGGATTTCCTTGACCTTGTCTTCCATTACTGATATTCTTTCGTCTGCTTTATCTAGTCTAAAGGTGATGCTTTCCACTGTTTTTTCCTAATTTGATTTATTGAGTTTTTATTTCTAACATTTGCATTTTTTTCCAGGATCTCAAAAACCTTGCTGATTCTCCCCCATGTTCCTCACATTTTCATCCAGGTCTTGACTTGAATTATATCATTGATCTATTTGTTTGAATCATTTTTGATGTCATTGATCATTTTTAAAAGTAGACTTCTGAATTCTTTGGCTTTTCAGCCATCTCAGTATATTTGGATTCCTTTATTAGAGAGTTATGAACTTTTGAAGTTGTACTTCTTTGCATTTTCAATTTATTGTAATGTATATTGTAAAGTATATCATTAACAACTGTATTTTTAAATTTTTTGGTCAGATTTTGCGATTGTCCAGGACCATTTTTCTTTCAAAGTGTACACCCAAAACTTTAAACCTGATAGTATGGTGTTCTGGGTGTCAAAGGAAAAATGTATTGAAACTGGAGCAAAGTTTTGAGTGAACATTATTTTCAGGATTTTGCATCATTTACAGCCTCTCTGTAATTTATTTTTTTGAAATACAATAGAAATTGATGAGATTTTCCATGGTTTGATGGTTTAAAAAATAGTACAGGAAAATATCATATTGCACATTAAAGAACAATTCTAGTAACTATGGACTTCTCCTCAGAAACATGGAGAACAGAGGATAATGGAACAACTTTTAAAGTGCATAGAATTATATTCAGGAAAATATACTTGAAGATGAGGCAAGAACAAAGAACATTTCCAATACAAGAAAATCAGGACAATGTAGCATACCAAATTTCCACTGTCAGAAATGAAAAATTTGAAGTGAAAAGAAAATATTATTAAAATAAATTAAGATCTCAAAGAATATTTTGAAGATCACTGAAATTTGTTAAATGCTAAATAAATATAAAAATGTTCTCTCAATTTTTAAAGTGCTCATGACTAATGACAAAAGTATAAAGCTGTGGTTTGGATTTTATAATTTAGATACAAACATTGGACAACTGTAGCTTCAAGACAGTAGCAATGTGATCAGTACACCTAAATGATTGTTAGATTTCTAGAGTTAACAGGAAATAAGCAATGCACTATCAAATAAAATGGTCCATGAAAATGTGAGAGTATTTACTTATGCCTAGAGTTACCATTAAAAATAGTACCAATTATTTTTACCAAATAATCCCTTTGAATTATTAAAAAAAGCTTTCAGATATATCATCAGGTATTGAAAGTAGTAAAATTAGGTAATAACATGGATTTCACACTGATTTAGCATTTAGGTGTCATTATTAGGATCTAACAGTAATATTATTTATTATTTTTGGCAACAGAGTTTTTAATCACTTGTCAAAGGAAATAAGAAATTTTGTATAGCAACATATTGCCATATAACTGAATTTATGGTATCTGAAAAACTGAAAAACATTCTATTTGTAAATATTTGAAGGATGTTCAGTTATTTTTATTCAGAAATTCTACCATCTGGCTCTGTATTTCTTCCCTGAAAACTCAGTATTTGTTAAGTGTTCTTACACATTCTGCAGTGTTTTAAGATTCTATCTACACAAGAGATATTAAACTATTCCCTTACTAATTGGGAGCCAATATAAGTAAAATTTCAAAAGTCTATTAATCCACAGAACATGATTTTGGAAAGCCTTGGAATTTTTTCTATAAGACTAAGCCCATCTCAAAATACTACTTGCAGAATTTTTATGTATCTTAAATAAAAGCCAACAAACTGCAGCCTATGCACTTATTAATTTTGTATTGCTTATGGCTGCTTTTGTATTATAAAGCACCAAATCTTAAGAGTTAATGAGTTATGAAGAAATAATATTTCTTTCTCTTTGAGTATGCTCTTGGGGAGCAAACCTCTCTGTGATTTCTCTTAAAGAAACTCCCAGGTTTCTGGAGTCTTTTAAACACCACTTCTTCCTGTACCTTAATTCAAAGATAGCAGCATGTTGGCCCACCTTGCAATCCTCTGTGCTAGTTCAATATGTATCATTTTTTTATTCTAGTGCTTCCATTAACTGTTAGTTATTCTCTATATTCATTTTCCTCTGACTAGTATCAGAACAATGTGCTTATAGTAGAGGTAAGAAATCAGTCACAAAATGTAAGGGCTATAATTCATTCAAATTAAATTATTGGATATCATTCTATGAAAATTAGGAAAACAAAAGCAGAACCAAGTACTTCTCATACAACAGGGTCTGTTTTATTACTTTGTTCTTTGTACAATGTTCATTTTGTTGTCTTCCAGAGATCCTTTTCAATGTTCCAAAGGTTTGACAAATCTACAAATTAATATTTTTTTCTCTGCTTAATTTCCTTTAGGATTATGACAAAGTATCTTACTGATGAAAGAGATGTTTAATCCCCAGTGAATACCTTACTTTGTAGAGGGAATGCCCACCTCTTTGGTTTCCCTCCCTGCGAGAGAATTTCTCTCAGGATTCATCACAGGTCTGTTTGTTAGTTAAATCAATAAAATACTATAGGAAACAAAATTAGAGTAAACCTAATATTAACAATTCTGCTGGTATTTGTTCATATTAGCAAATTTGAATCATCTGAGAAGTGAACAAAAGAAATCTATGTTGTGGAAAAGCTTCCCAATAAAGGTTTGTTTCTTTCTTTTCATGTTTGTCTTTTCATGAATGAATTGAATTCACATGTAGTATAGTGTTAACTAAGATGAGAAATAATCACTCCTGCGAATAACTTGTTTCAAATTTTTAACTTTGCACTACTTTCTTTTAGATAACATTTATTACATTTCTTAACTTTGTTTCTGTTAAAGCTAGGAATTTATTGATGTAACATATGAATTTAAAGAAAACGTGCAGTTTTTAATTATTAGGCACTTCCAGAGGTGGTTTTGACCATTCCTCTGCCTCTAATATTAATCAGTTAATATCTCCCTTTATATTCATTTTAAGGAGTTGGCTACTGTACCTATATCAGCCTGATTCTAGAATAAGTCCAAGTTCCAACCTGACTAAATATATGAAAATCAGTGAAACCAAAGCAATGACAATAATACAAATTATAGAAGAGCCATTTTATAATTATAAGGTTATAATTTAATGTATTCACTATAATTATATACACCATACATAAACATACCTAATTCATATAGTTACACAGTTACAAAAGGCACTTAAATAGTATATAAATAATAGTATGTACTATGAATAATACAATTTACTATTTACACATTGCCTTTTCAATTGCATGATAGATTATTCAATAGTAAGCAAGGGTGCTCTTCAGTCTCATTACTATAAATGTCACTTTAATCTAATGTATTTCCTAAACGATACAATGAGAACAAATTCTCTTCCATTCTTTATAACTCCACTGTATTTTACTTAAGAATATTTTATATTCATAACAGCATAAGTCTAAGCAAATATAATCAAAGTTTGTTCAAATATGCATTTGTACCTTTTCTTTTGTAGCTACCTTTGCATTGTTCTGTTTGCCTTCTATTTTATATATGCACATATCTTTGCATTCATAATTAGATTTTATTCTAAGAACAAAATAATCACTGGCCAATATTTTTTTAAATGTCTACTTGCATTATTATGTTCCAAAAGTGTGAAAGGATTAAGGAAGAAAGTGGGGAGAAGTAGGGAAAAAGAGAAAGAGCAAAGGAAGGATGGAAGGAAGGTTTTATTTCCTTGACTTCAGGGAATATAAACAAAAATCCATTACTACTTTTACTAGATAAATTATGCCAGTCAGAATTTATAACAAGATAAGGAAGAACAAAAATGGAAAATTGATGATGTGAGGGAGATATGAATGTTTTGTCACAATGTGAAGTCTTCCTGCTCATGTAAGAGACACAGAAATAATGTTTATGCTATTTTTCTAGAGTAAATAAAAAATGTAAATAACCATTAAAATAAGACAATTAGTTGAACTCTATTTTAATTCTAGAATTCTAAAGTATTTAGTATTATATACTTTCAATTGATTGTATTTTCTGAAGTAGATTATAATGTCTGTGAGAAACATCTTCCACTAAGTGCACCAATACATAGTGGCAGTAGACTGATGATGAAAATTTTAAAAAGTCTTCACCTGATTGCAGAATCTGCATTTTCTCAAAGCACACTTAGAGGCTCTGTCTGCATTACTTGAAGATGTGCATAACTGAGAAGGCTTACCAATTAGTTTGAATGTGTGACTAGAAAGTATTTTTTAAATGGCAACTTTTTTTTAGTTTAGTTTATACGATATTGGAAACCATAACATAAACTCAATACATTTTCTTTCGTGCTCGTTTACCAATGTTTTTACTAAAACATGTTCTGATAACTCATTTCTTTCAATTTTTCCATCCCTCCAGTTCTACATACACATCAGCTATGAGGAGAGAGCTGAATAGGAATTACTCAGAGGTGACTGAGTTCATTCTGCTGGGGTTTAGAACTGTTCCAAAACTACAGATCCTTTTATTCTTGGTGCTCTTGATAATCTACATGATTATTATAATGGGGAATGTCACTATGATAACTGTCATTACGATGGACTCTAGGCTGCAAATGCCTATGTATTTCTTCCTTAGAAATTTGTCCTATTTAGATCTCTGCTATTCCACAGTCATCACTCCAAAAATGTTAGCCAACTTCTTGAATAATGAAAAGAAAATATCCTACAATAGCTGTTTGGCTCAGTTTTTCTTCTTTACCTTGTTTGTTACAAATGAATGCTTTCTTTTGTCTGTGATGACATTTGATCTGTTCTCAGCCATTTGCTCTCCTCTCCTTTACCCTGTGCAAATGTCCCACAAAGTCTGTGTTCAGTTGGTAAATGGATCTTATATCTTTGGATTCATCAACTCTGTAGTGCATACAGGTTTCACCCTCAGTTTGCATTTTTGCCAAGAAAACCAACTTGACCACTTTTTCTGTGATGTCTCAGTCTTGAACAAGATCTCCTGTGTTGACACCTTTGTGAATGAGATTGTGCTGTTTATTCTGTCTGCTCTCATCATCATCACCACCACCACTGTCATTCTGGTTTCCTATGGATATATCCTCTCCACTGTCCTAAAGATTCCCTCCACCCAGGGCAGGCGAAAGACTTTCTCCACTTGTGGTTCCCATATAGCAGTGGTGTGTTTATTGTATGGAACTGTCTTTTTCATTTATGCTGAACCTGGGGCCACCTCCTCACCAGAGCAAAGCAAGATTGTAGCTGTGTTCTACACACTTATAACACCAATGCTGAACCCTCTCATATACAGTCTGAGAAACAGAGATGTGAAAGATGCTGTGAAAAGATTGTTATGTGGGAAATGGTCCTCTTGGTGACATTCAGGAATCCACTATATAGTGGATGAAATTTATTTTTTGAAGGTTCTCTTCTGATATAAAGTATTTAATTATTTAATAATATATTGTTAATAAAAATATTTAAATTAATATGATATTTGTTAATTAATATTATAAATTATTAATTATATAATAGTGAAAGCTGATCTATCAAGAACACATAATATATACCATAGATTGACTTTATTACCATTTTAAATGAGGTAAATGAAACATAAGGAGCTCACTGATGTAATTTGGCAGAGCCAAAAGCCAGTGTGACTCTAGAATTGTAATCATCCAACTCCATGTAAATACAAATTCTAATGCATGTGGAACAAACTTAAATTATAGTCACACAGCCTTCAAGCAATCATGCTTGAATAGAGGTGTAGATATAGGTCAGTCTTAGAACAGAACTTCAAACCTTCTTCAGTCATCATTGGTATAAATAGCATTGTCTCTATTTTCTTCTAATATTTCAATCAACTTTTCACATGGAGTCAGATTACATTTGTATGTAAATTTATTTATTGTTTCAAAAATATTACATATACTTACCCCCTGATAATCAGATAATATTCAGTGTTAATGATTTTATACATTATTTTTAACATTATTAAAGAAAAGTTTAATTTTCATATACAGTCTAGATTGAGGCCTTAACTAAAGCTCTTTTCCATCATTTTCTGATTTTTTTTGAAAAAACAGGGACAAGATGGGATTTGTGTCTTACTTTTTGCATTTACTTTGTTTGTTTAAATATATATATATATATATATATATATATATATATATGAACACTAAATAGGAATCTAAGAACCTAATGGGGTCAGTTGCATTGCTGGGAGTGGACTATTTGTTTTAGAAATGTATTTAGCTGGTATATCACTGTTCTGGCACATCTAGGTGAGAAAAGGAGAACAAGATCTTTCATTTATTTCCTTCTAAATGTGTGTTATATACAATCTCACTTTTGCTGGAGTTAAATATATTTTCTTGACGGGTATTGATGATTGAATTTAGGCAGAAGAGGAAATTCTATGCTCTGAAGGCTTCGTGGCTTCACTAAAAGCTCAAGTTCAACTTAACATTCATTTCCAGCTAATTAAAAATAAAGCACCACCATGTTTTCAATTTCTATTGTTCAGAAATTGGAACAATAGAATAAGCCTCACAGATAATTCATGACTGGACAGACATTGAGGCTGAAGCAGGACGAAGAAATTACTGTCTTTATACCATATTGATTGATTGATATCAATCGAGAATGTCCATGTTACAGCAAAATCTTAATATCTAATAATTATCCTTTGTTGTTTTAAGTTTATTTTGTGAGTATATACTATATTTTATACATACTAGATGATATTTCAACTTGAATTGTTTATCTATTATATATAAATGTATATATGGGCATGTATATATATTGACATATGATACATGTTAATGGGTAAAGTATGTTATTTGTTTTTCATTTTATTTTTAGTTTTTACAAATTGTTCAAGTTATTTTACTAGTTATGGGACCTAGTGTGATAATTTGACCTAAGAAAGTAATGTATAATGGTCAAATCAAGGTACTTAGATTTCTTTTTTTTAAATATTTATCATTTCTTTGTGTTGGGAAGCTTTGAACTCCTTCTAGATCGTTATAAAATACATAATATATTGCTTAGCACTATTCTGCTATAAAACACTAGAACTTATTCCTCTTATCTACCTGTATATTGGTACTCATTCTCCAAAGTCCCTCTAACACATTCCTCTCTGCCCTTCCCAGTCCCCAGTAACCACTAATTTACACAGCATTTTAATCTTCTGCATATGAGTGTGAGCATGAGGAAGTATTGCTTTCTGCATTTGGCTTACTTCACTTAACACAATGACCTTTATTTCTACCAAGATCAATGTGAACGACTGGACTCAATTCATTTTTATGGCCAAATAAAAATCCATTGTGTACATATATTACATTTTCTTTATCTTTCGGGCACATTGATTGCTTCTATATCTTTTCTATTGTGAATAGTGCTAATGGTGAATAGTCTCTATTGTGGGAGTGCAGGTATCACTCTGATATATTGATTTAATTTCTTTTGGAGATTTTTTGTGTGTGTGTGTGGTGTGTGTGTGGTGTATGTGTGTGTGTGGTGTGTGTGGTGTGTGTGTGGTGTGTGTGGTGTGTGTGTGGTGTGTATGGTGTGTGTGGTGTGTGTGGTGTGTGTGTGTGGATGTGGGGGGTGTGGTGTGTGTGTGTGGATGTGTGTGGTGTGTGTTTGGTGTGTGTGTCTGCTGTGTGTGTGGTGATCGTGGTGTGTGCATGTGTGGTGTTTGCATGTAGTGTGTGTGGTGTGTGTGTGCTGTGTGTGTGTGCTGTGTGTGTGTGTGTGTGGTGTGTGTGTGCTGTGGATGTGTGTGGTGTGTGTGTGGTGTGTGCGTGTGGTGTGTGCATGTGTGGTGTTTGCATGTAGTGTGTGTGCTGTGTGTGTGGTTTGTGTGTGTGTGTGCAGTGTGTGTGTGCTGTGTATGTGTGTGGTGTGTGAATGTGGTGTGTGCGTGTGGTGTGTGCATGCGTGGTGTTTGCATGTAGTGTGTGTGATGTGTTTGTGCTGTGTGTGTGGTGTGTGTGTGTGTGTGCGGTGTGTGTGGTGTGTGTGGTTAGTGTGTGTGTGGTGTGTGTGTGGTGTGTGTGTGTGTGCAGTGTGTGGTGTGTGTGTGTGTGTGTGTGCGGTGTGTGTGTGTGTATCCAATAGTGAAAATGCTGACTTATGGTAGATTTATTTTTAGTCTTTTGAGAAACACCATACTGTTTTCTATAATGACTACATTCTTACCCAAACTGTTATGGAAACTCTACCTTTCTCTTCATCCTTACTAGCACTTGTGAGTTTTTGTCTTTTTGATGATAGCCATTCTTTTTTTTTTAAGTATATCCAGCCATTTTTGTTTTCTAAGTGAAGACTGAAAAAATGAAAAATAAACCTCAGGAAGGTTAAGCAGCTACACTACAGATAAACTTATTAGTCACCTTCTCACTATTCATCCACTGCTCTATCCACTTTATTATAATGCTCTGTGGCATCCAGATTTCCATGTTCATTGCTGTCAAATGAACTGTAAAATTGGGATCTGGTGGTTCACGCCTGTAATCCTAGCTACTCAGGAGGCAAAGATCAGGAGGATTGCAATTCAAAGCCAGCCTCAGGCAAATAGTTTGTGAGACCCTATCTAAAAAAGAGCTCATGGAGAGGCTCAAGGTGAGGGCTCTGAGTTCAAACCTCAGAACCAAAAAAAAAAAAATCCACTGTATAAATCACTGGAGTGATGGTTATGTTCAAAAAGGAAGCCACTCTCCTAATTTTGTGTTTTTAGACTGTACTAGAGGATTGACAGTGAAAAGATGATAGCTATCTTTTTTAATTTCAGGGCTTGTAGTACTTTCCACATTCATGCAACCATATCAAATGATGCACTGTCTTCTTTAGAAACATGAAAATTTGGACATTCAATGTTGTTGACCAAAATTTCTTAAATAACCAAGAAGAAATAAGAAAGTCTATGAGTATTAATGGCTCCAATTGCTTGATTTAAAAATGTTAATATTTTATGATTGTCACAGAATGTTCACAGTCATTATCACATAAGAGCAGGATACTTTGTGAGGAAGATTGAAAATGATTTTCATATTGATTATCCATAAAGACAAGGGCAATTCCATCTCATACCTTGAATATGAAGGATTGTTAGTCCAGAGAAATGAGTGTGACTCATTATTCCAGAGTCAGAAATGCCTCTTGGATTGATGGTAGCTCCTACACTCTAACCTCAGCAACACATTCAGCTGTCATCTGAGCCACCACTGGAGGTAAGTCCAACCAGATGCATTATGAAACATGACTTTGCTGAAGGCACAGAGATGATTATAGCCATTCTAACTGGGTGCTTGTCTTTATGTTACTATCTCATGCTTGTTGCTCTGTTCCTGTTTTGGTGTGTGGCAGTTAAAAAATAACAGCCTTTATGCTTTCATCTTTGAGAGTTATAAGCCTAAATAACACAATATCACTTGTGTTTGAATATAGAAATACATCCTTTTTTTAAGAAAACTCACCATTTTATAGTGTAATTTTCTTAAATAATTTATCTATATATAGAAGGCAGTTTTGAAATTTTTACTTCAATAATGATTGAAATTTTCCAAACATAATTTAGAAACATCAAAAGGGAAAGGAAAGTCTATTATATTTTACCCACCATGTATCATATTATGCATTGGTTTTCAACTTTTACTTAACCAATTATAGCTTCAACTTTTTAAAAATCAAGCTTCTTCTCCTCTAACAGGAACCTAATTCTTTTAAGTCTCATTTTTAGGAATTTTTATAATCTATTATTGTCAGCTTTAGGCTTTTGCCATTTTTAATGTTTTCTTTTTCTCTCTGTGTACTTTTTTATATTGTTTGACTACAGTTCATATATTGTTCTTAAAAATAATAGCTTCCATTGTCTTGATCTTTGAAAAATATAAGCAATATTACATTAATGTATCTGTTTTTAGCAAATGAGTGCTACTTAAATTTTAAGAACAACAAATATGTATAGCTTATCTTTTATGAATAGTAGGGATTTTCCCCTTATAAAACTATACTTCACTCAGTAGTTCTTATAGGGTAAATACATGATGTGGCATGTAATAGTGTCTTTTCCTGAAAATATTCTCCCACTTAACAGAAGACAAATATGAAGCTAACAAAATGTTGCAGATTAAATATATACTCCATGTACCAATATATACAAAACCTGTTACTTTATACCTTAAAAGTCAAATCACACTTAATAGAACTATATATGTTCTTCTATGCTCTTGCATCCTTTCTATTGTAAGCCATAATATATTTTTGTTTTTTACAATGTCAAATGAATTCCTCCATAGCAAAGATTATGTCATATTCCACACTGAGTCTTTCTACAGGAAGTCATAGTCCTTTTTTATCATAT